TGTAGGGTTGGGGGAGGGATATTGCCATAATTATAAACAAAAATATTTAGCAAATAGAATAGAATAGAATAGAATAATTTTATTTCACCAATCAAGGGTCATACTATATGACATATATAATCACAAGCATAAAACATAAGGCATGAAACAAAATATATCAACCAACAAATTGTGTATTGTATGGTAGAAATGAAGACAATAAAGTAACTATTTAAAGCTTAATTCGTATTATTGGAAAAACAAATAACACAGGCATAGTAATGTTAAAATAAGAAGTAAATAAATAAAACAGTATTAAAAAATAAAAAAAAAAAACAACAAAAAACACTAATTACTCATTCGATATTCAAGTACAATAATATACATTCAATGGTCTGACAAATTTTTATTACTAATAGTGCTACCTAACATAAGATTTCGTTTATTATAAATTTCGAGTAGGTATTTAGAAAAGACTTTCAAGACTCTAGGGTCTTCCGAGGACATTAACCAAACAAATTTCTGCTTTTTATTCATCATATAAAAGTTCTTATTTGATATTTCAATTTGTCTAAATAGTAGTTCTCTATAACTATCAAATTTTGTACAACACATGGAAAAATGAATTTCATCTTCTACAAGATTGGAAGAGCAACAGTTACAATACCTTTGATTTACTGGGATCTTTTTATATCTGCCTGTTTCTATATTCAATCTGTGTGCACTTACTCTAAACTTGGTGAAGAAAGTTCTTATATCTTTGTCCTTAATATGTCTAAAGTACACTTCTCTACAAAACCTTTGTTTAAACAAAGAGTATGTTCTAAGTTTCCCTTCAGTACCTGAGATATTCAAACACCAGTTGGTTTGGTACATTTTCACTAACTTGAGTTTAACAACATTTACTAAGTTCTTATTGGTTAAACCAGCATCAGATATACCTAAATGCTTAAAACAATGTTGTACACAAGAAACCCAGCAAACTTTATTATCCGTAAATAATGTTTGACTTTCAATAAAGGCAGCACGCCGCAGCAGATAGTAATTTGCTAACATTTCCACTTAGCAGTCTTTGATAAAACTTAACATAACTACATATTACATCAATAAATAGTGGATACCGTCCTAGTTCACCGCATACTGCCTCATTTGATGTTTTTTTGTGTACACCCAGAATATATTTTAAAAATTTCACATGCATCTTATCACAGGACATATTTCCAAAGGATTTGAACAACACATAATCTGTTTTTTTAACAATAGAACTACTAATATTTGGTATACCCCAAATCTCACTACCATACAGAAGAATGGGTTTAATAGTATGATCAAAAAGATGGATGATAGTGTCAACATTTTGGTGTAGCTGACCAAAAACCTTACTAATCTTAAAACTTGCTTTCAGTGCTCTTTTATAAAGATCATCTTGGCAGTAACTGAAAGTACCAGATGATGCAAAAATAATTCCGAGATATTTATAACTTTTAACATGATTAACTTCAGTTCCCTTAAAGTAGAATTTCTCACTAGAAAGCCTTCCACTTTTACAAAAGGTCAAAATACTTGTCTTTTTAAGATTTACTATAAGACCATTATTGTCACAAAATGTTGATAACTTATTCAAACAATTCTGTAAACCTTTTGGTGTAGTTGACAACAATAACAAATCATCTGCATACAACAAACAACTAATTTTTACATCATTTAGACACATTTGGTCATCACTACTATCAAATCACCTGGCAAGTCATTAATAAACATCTTAAAAAGATTTGGGCTAAGATTGTCCCCTTGACGCACCCCCATCTGGGGAGAGAATGTTTATGTTAACTTATTACCAACTTTTATGTGCATCACATTTGAGCAATACATGTTTTTAACAACGTTGAAAAAAGGTCCAGATATACCAGTATTACATAGTTTATACAAAAGAAGGGAGTGAATAACATTATCAAATGCCTTTGCAAAATCAACAAAGCATGTATATAATTTAGCTCCCTTGCTGAAAAATTTATCTATTAATGTTTTCACTACAAACATGTGATCAGATGTTCTGAAATTGGGTTGAAACCCAATCTGTGCTTCATTAATAATTCCATTATCTATAAATTTTTGTAATCTATTATTCATTATACAATTAAATACCTTTGATAGACATGGCATAACAGATATACCCCTATAGCAGTTGGGGTCATTAGTATCACCACCTTTATGAATTGCTTTAATATAACCAACTTTCCATGAAGATGGATAAACACCGCTTGAAAGTATACAATTAAACAATTTTTGGAAGGAAATTTTTTCAAAAAAAAATTTCCTTTCTATAGTATCGGTCTGCCTATATTGAAAAAGAACGAACAACACCTAATTGAATTCTGTTAAGGCTCAATAGAAAATAAGTAGTTAATGCGACCAAGAAAGTAGTGCAGCAGAACTATATGTATACTTTCAAACGTGGATGACTTGAAGAAAAAGCTGATGTTCAAAAAAACTTGAAATGATGATATTCAATGTTAGCTTACATCAATGGAACATAATCTTAAACATGTACGGAAAAAAAACATCAGTATTATTACGCATTAGGCCAAAGAAAAGTTTGTGTCCATGTACCTATGTACAATAAATTGAATATAAATAAGGTGTAATTTTGTAGCAGAGATGCTGAAAAGTTCACATATATAAATCAACCGAAGGAAATGAAAGTATTTATTGTATATATTTAGCAATTTATTGAATAGCATTTTATGCCACCGCTGATTTTTTTACGTCGATAACTCAAGAGGAAACAATGGATACAATATGTGGCCTTAAAAAGGCGTTCTGTGCTGTACTATTTTCGCAAAAAATGGTTCGCAAACTATCATAGCTTAGAATCAAAGCGTTTGAAACAAAAATATTATTATATAAATAATAAAAAACAAGATTACAATACAAGTCTTTCAAAAGTATTCTGGAATTAACGGATGCAATTTGGTAAAACTTGGTGTTGACTAATAAGTAGGGCACACCCGCCATTGTTCGGACCATCGACAGAATAACGTTCGTGTTTTTGAGATTTCTCCATCCAAGACATAGATTTGCTGATGAATAACATCGCAAAGGTTTGTGGAAATGCTTTTATTTCTTTGTTCAAAATCGTTTTGTGTTTGCAGATGTTAATTTGTTAGACAAACGAAATTAGGTCAAGGATTGTTTACATTATTGAATTTACAGGTAAACTCGGCCCTATACCAACTCGGGACAGGTCAACTCGGCCCTCTATTAAAACCATATATTAGGATATAGATTGTTTAGTTAATAACATATTGTTTGAAATTATCTTTAAGATAAATAATCTTTAAGATTAGGAGAAAATATATATATGTTCATTCTTTGTAAAAATGTTAGAAGACTTGCAAGTTACCGACTTTATCATTGCATTTATTTATTATTGAAAAAATGCTGAACAGCTAGTCTCAACAGTGTTTATAGGCTAGAATTTTCAGTTTGCATTAGGGCCAAAATTATTAAATATATTGTAAGTCATGACGGCTTTCCCATTGCTGTCATCAAACTTTAACCTTGTTCATAACTTTTTCAGATCTTGGTGTATTGTCTTGATTTCAGGACTTTACACCTCCTGGACGTTTCACCTTTGGTCTTTACACCTCCTGGACGTTTCACCTTTGGTCTTTACACCTCCTTGACGTTTCAGCTACTTTTTTTATAAATAATATTGTATACAGTATGGATTAATATCAGTAAACTTGTTTGACATACCTTATAGTTGTTAGACCTTAATTGGATAATATTGAGTGATAATTGAGATAACTCAATATCATATAAATTTGCATGATAGACATTGAGAGAATATTTGTTTTTTGAAATTTAGAATTAAGAAATTTTATTTAAAAAATGACATTCTTGTTCAAATAAAATTACCAAATATGTATCAATTTATGAAAAACAGTTAAAAACAAAAACTAAATTTATTCAGAGTCAATTACTATATCTACAATGTATGCACTATACAATAACATAACATTAAAATAAACACTGTTATTTTCATCATATAATTTTATTTCCTATTTTATAAAAAATAATAAGAAAATAAAAATGGTATCATATTTTATTCTAAATATTCAACTATCATTTCATCTTCATTTTTGTCTTTTTTATTCATTAAGATAAATCTATTACAAAAACTTGCTGAAAATGCTTTAAAAAATCAAGCTAGAATGAATTTATTACCAATTATTTCATATTGAATACTTTAATAGAAAAATATTATCTTGTAAAAACAGTTAAAATATTAAAAATCATGTAGGTAAAAAAATTAAATGTACTAACATTAAATTTTCTTTTATGATATAATACAAAATATTAAAAATTTATGATAATATAAAACATTTCGGACTAATCACTATGATTACTATAATACAATATGTACACTGTTCACTTTCACAAGTTCAACCTTGCAAAATATTAAAATGATTTCATGAGTTTTGCTATATGTACATCTTAAAATTTATAATAAAAATTGTATTATTTCATAAATTTGTTACAGAGAACTATAAGTTACACACTTCTAAAGGTGCTAATTTAGTAATTAATAAACCAGTGTTTATAAGGCTTTATTCAAAATTCGTTCACACTTCTAATTGTTCTTATCTGTTATATAAAAACATATTTTAATTAATCAATATCTTTTATGGTATTTAATTTTTGGATAAAAAAAATAGTGAAATAATATATACATTACATGTAGACTTATAGCTGATAATTAGTGATAATTCTTTCAGAACTCATATTTATAATTATTTACCCAGGGAAATTTCATTATATTTATGTTAAAAAAATCTTCTTTATATCATGATTGTAATTGTTTGCAAGTATGTGTTATATTATATATAATATTATAACCCATAATGGTATTTATTTCATATATTTATCAAATTTAAAAAGTGGAGGTGAAAAGACCAGGGTTTTGAGGGTGAAACGTCTAGGGGTGAAACATCCAGGAGGTGTAAAGTCCAAACACCGTCACACCATTGTCTTCATACTTGGCCACAACAACCCTTCAAATAGACCAGACTAAACTAAATTAACTTGACCACCATATTAACATTCAAGGTATATGTCTAAATCTTCTTGATTTTTGCTATTAGTGGCTATAACTTTGTTATTTTTGAATGGATTGTCTTCAAACTTGAACAACAATCTTTCAGGATAGGACCTGACTCACTCATAAATGTCCTTGAAGCTTTTGTGATCAGAAGTTGTACAGAATAATACAAACCCAGAGCAATTTCATTCACTTGGTTTTGCAACTTCTGAGAAAATGGATTTTAAAGATAGTTGTTTTCTTGAAATTTCAGGACAGTATAGTAGATAGTAAAGACATTTAATACATACTGTATATACACTATAATTACTATAGTATACTATAAAAATCTTTATGCTTGGACAATTTTGAACAAATTGTTTCTTAAACAGTGTAAGAAATTAGGATTTGAATCGACTAGGCTGGTCGGACTACTAGATTGGAATATTCACTTGCCCAAAAGACATTTCACTAGCACGATTCATTTGTTCAAAACAGTTGTTTATATTGCCTCTGAAAATACAGTAGCCTGGTCGGGCTTGTTACTGTGAAAAGTTGATAGCCCAAGGAGAAATTTAGAAGTCGGGCTCTCGGACTACTGCTAATTTCGAACACTGCTTAAATTATTGATTTGATGTCAACTAACATAATTATTGGGATACTATATGTATATCTAATAATAATTATATTTTATGTTTCAGAAGTTCGGCCTACATGTCAGATTTATGAATGTGAACAGCAGGATATCGATTTTAAGGATGCTTTAGGGTCAATGACAATGAAATCACGAAAGATAAAGGCTAAAATGTGAGACTGTCAATCTGACTAACCTTGAAGTGAACAAATGGAAAAAATGTTTCTTTCAATAGCATGGGCTTTTAAGGAAGAGGTACATGATTATTTAGAAGTATTTGTATATGATATTTCTTAATTATTATATTCTAATAGCTTTTTTTTTCTTGATTTGTTTAAAGGCTGACACAGGACAGTTTATTTTAAGTCGGTGAGCTTCGGTCACTGGATAGACTATTGTCACAAAAAGCCAAATTTATAAAAAAGAATTACAGTGTATTTAAATATCTTATACAAGAAATTAGGAACAAAATTAATAGCAAGAACAATTGTGACATGTGACATGTATTTAGGAATTCAGCTTTCTTTTCCTTTTTACCTCAGGACAATTCACATTAAAATATTGAATATTCACAGTAAGCAGTGTTAGCACTCCGACTTATCTGACATATATGATCATCTTATCATCACTTAGCTGTCTATAGCTTATCAGAATCACTCACATTTATGAATTTAAATAATTTTGAAAAAATTGCTGCTTAGCAAATAGATAAAATACTTGGGGTGTCTGTGACTGATTGGTTTAGTTTCTTGACTTTAAACCTTTAAGCCTTTCACTGCTGTAAGTTCGAGCTCGGCAAGGGTTTACAAGTGGAATTTTAACTTTGCAATTAACTTTTTCTAAACAAATATTTCAGGAAACAGAGGCGCTTATATGATAGAACAGTAAAAGCAGGAGTGATAATGAAAGATACATGTAGATGTGTCTTCATGTCGGAAACACTAAAGAAATAGAAATATTGTGGTTTTATAAAACTTAAAAGAAATTGGAATACCAGGAGACTGCCTGCCCTTTGCAATGTTGGATAAAGAGTTCTTAGATGTGATGTCGAAAGCCTCATGAAGCCCATGACTTAATCTAATTAGAAAAAGAAATGACATTGAAGAGAAAACTAGTCACCAGTCTTTCACCAAGAACTAGAGATAACTTTCCAATATTTGAAATATCATAATATGAGCCGCGTCATGACAAAACCAACATAGTAGGTTTGCGACCAGCATGGATCCGAACCAGCCTGCGCCTCCGCGTAGTCTGATCAGGATCCATGCTGTTCGCCATCAGAATTTAACCAGGTTTTCCGAAGGAAAAAACTGGTTATTAGATTGAGGTATGTCGGCGGGCGGACGGCCGGGCGGGCGGGCGTAAACAATTTCTTCTGTGCGCAACTCCTCCTACATTTCTCAACGGATTTTGACCAAACTTTCACAGAAGCTTTGTCATCAAGTGCCCTGGCGCATATTGTCGGGGTTTTGCGATTAGATAATATTTGACCTAATTATGGCCCTTTGTTTTTTTTCCTTATATAAAATATATAGTGAACAATTTCTTCTGTGCGCAACTCCTCCTACATTTCTCAACGGATTTTGACCAAACTTTCTCAGAAGCTTTGTCATCAAGTGCCCTGACACATATTGCCAGGGTTTTGCAATTGGTATATATTTGACCGAATTATGGCCCTTTGTTTTTTTTCCTTATATGGAAAATATAGTGAACAATTTCTTCTGTGCGCAACTCCTCCTACATTTCTCAACGGATTTTGACCAAACTTTCTTAGAAGCTTTGTTATCAAGTGCCTGGCACATATTGTCAGGGTTTTGTGATTGGATAATATTTGACCGAATTATGGCCCTTTGTATATTTTTTCCTTATACAGAATATATAGAGAACAATTTCTTCTGTGCTCAACTCCTCCTACATTTCTCAACGGATTTTGACCAAACTTTCTTAGAAGCTTTGTTTTCAAGTGCCTGGCACATATTGTTGGGGTTTTGTGATTGGATAATATTTGACCGAATTATGGCCCTTTGTATATTTTTTCCTTATACAGAATATATAGTGAACAATTTCTACAGTGCGCAACTTCTCCTACATTTCTCAATGGATTTTGACCAAACTTTCACAGAAGCTTTGTCATCAAGTGCCCTGGCGCTCACTAAATTCCCATGTTTCTTCCAAGACATCATTCAAGTATTTTTTTAAAATTTTGAACATACTTTTCTTGATATCGCACAAAACACCACACGCCAATATTGTTGACAAAAGAAAATGACAAGAGACGCAAAAATGCAAAAATTAAGCAAAAATAAAGTACTGTTTACCTTTCTAAAACATTTGGGAAAAAAAGGCGAATAGACAACATAAAATTTCTCAATCATTTTTGTTTGAGGAATATTAAAAAAGCCATAATTCCTCCTAAAAGTTCAATTAAAAACAAATGCCCCTTCATGACAAAGCTTCTGTGAAATATTTTGCTGAAAACCTGGTTGCATCGCATTGCGATGTTCCTTGTTCTACTTGTAATAGAGTTTGTAAGCGAACAGCATGGTCCTGATCAGACTGCGTGGATGCGCAGGCTGGTCTAGATCAATGCTGGTCGCAAACCCATTATGTTGGTTTTGTCATGGCTTGCTCATATGTATAGAACTTTATTGAGCCACCAGTTTTTCACCAGGAAAATAAGATCACTTAACTATTTTTAGCTCACCTGTCACAAAGTGACAGGGTGAGCTTTTTTGATCGCTTTTCGTCTGGCGTCCGTCCGTAAACTTTTACTTTAAATGACATCTCCTCATAAACCACTAAGCCAATTTCATCCAAACTTCACAGGAATGTTTCTTTGGTGGTCACCTCTAAATATTGTTCATAGAACGCTGGTTGCCATGGCAACCAAAAGAAAAAAACTTAAAGTATCTTCTTTTAAAGAACCCAAAGAGCTAGAGCTTAGACAAAGTATCTTCTTTTAAAGGTATGAAACATCTTCTAGTGAGTGTCTACCAAGTTTGTTCAAATAAAAGCCCTGGGGGTCAAAATTGGCCCCTCCCCAGGGGTCATTGAATTTCCCTATATGCATATAGTAAAAACTTAAAAATCTTCTTTGAAAAAACCAAAATAGCTAGAGTTTAGATATTAAGCATGAAACATCTTCTGGTAAGTGTGTACAAGGTTTGTTCAAATAAAAGCCCTGGGGTCAAAACTGGCCCCGCCCCAGGGGTTTCATTGTTTTTAACTATTTGTGTAAAGTAAAAACTTAAAAAATCTTCTTTTAAAAAACCCAATGAACTAGAGCCTAGATGTTTAGCATGAAACATCTTATGGTGTCGACCAAGTTTGTTCAAATTTAAGCCCTTGTATAAAAATTGGCCATGCCGGGGTGGGGGGTGGTGCAGAGGTCTTTGTTTTACATTATATGTGTGTAGTAAAAACTTAACATCATGAAACATCTTCTAACGGGTGTCTTACAAGTTTGGTCAAATAAAAGCCCTGGGTTTTAAACTGGCCCCGCTCCAGGGGCCTATATACACATGGCCCTCTTGTTGAAATATGTATGAACAAATCTTTATCAACTTCAAGCTTTTATTGAAGGTATTTGAAATAACTTGGCACAAATGATTGTTATAATAAGACAATGAGTCATGTCAACAACCAGACCCCTACCTCCAGGGTCAAGGTCGCACTTGCTCATTCAAGGTCAACATTGTCTATTTGAAAGTATATCTCGTGTCCGGTCTATAACTTTCCTATCTCTAAAGGGATTTTGTAAATACTTGCCACAATTGCTCACAATAATGAGAAGATGTGTCATGCTCAACAACAGGTCACCTGCCTCCAAGGTAAAGGTCACACTTGGAGGTCAAATATTAGCACAGCCTGTTACAGGGTATATTTCGTGTCCGGTCCATAACTTTGTCATTTATTGAAGGAATTTGAAATAACTTGGCACAAATGTTTGTTATAATAAGACGATGATGTGCAACAACCAGACCCCTACCTTCAGGGTCAAGGTCATACTTGCTCATTCAAGGTCAACATTGTCCATTTGAGGGTATGTCTCGTGTCCAGTCTATACCTTTCTTATTTTTGTAGGGATTTTGTAAATACTTGCCACAATTGTTCACAACAATGAGATGATGTGTCATGCACAACAATCGGTCACCAACCTACAAGGTCAAGGTCACACTTGGAGGTCTAAGATTAACATAGCCTGTTATAGGATATTTTTTGTCCGGTCTATAACTTTTTGGTATATCAAAGGATTTTGAAAAAACTTGGCACAAATATTCACTATAATAAGACAATGTGTGATGCGCATCACCTGCATCCCTACCTCCAAGGTCAGGGTCACATTTTGAGGTAAAAAATTAACATTGTTTTTTTAAAGGGTATATATTGTGTCCAATGTAGAACTTCTTCATAGTTCAAGGGATTTTGAAATAACTTGGCACAAATAGTCACAATAATAAGACGATATGTCAGTTACAACACCTGCACCCCTGCCTCCAAGGTCAAGGTCACACTTAGAGGTATAAAGGTAACAAAGTCTGTTATATGGTATATTTTATGCCCCGTCCATAACTTCTTCATAGATGAAGGGATTTGGAAAATACTTGGCACAAGTAGTCACAATGATAAGATGATATGTCATGCACAGCACCTGCACCCCTACCTCCAAGGTCAAGGTCACACTAAGAGGTCAAAGCAGGGATTTTTTCCAGGATTTTGTGAACATAACCCATACCCATGCAACTGGGAATTTAGCGATATTTTGTTAAAATTGGGAAAAAATGCATGACTGAAAGTTTGCAGTGATTAAATGTATGCAAGCAATCACTGCCTAGGATGGCTTCTTCAAACATTTAAACACTATTACAGTAAAGAAGCCCTTATTTTCAAAGATTTTAGAATTCTTTATTCAATATTTATATTTTTGTAACTTTCAATTGGGAATATTTTCCTTTGGATTGGGAAAATAATATTCTATTTTCAATTGGGAATAACGGCTATAAAATAAGCCAAAAAAATCCCTGCAAAGCGTAACATGATATATTTTGAAATTCAGTATTTCATTTTATTTCTTTAATAAATTTATTGTTGCATTTGCAGATCTAGCATTGATCATAATTTTGGACTGAAAATCCTTAGATCCCTGCCTCAATCTTTTGAAATAGCACAATTTTTTGCTTCATATAAAACTTCCCTGAGGCGGGGGACGTTGGTATCTCTGTTACAAATTCTTGTTTATTTTACCAACAAGTGTTCACTTTCAAACTTTTGATCATTGTATTTTTTGTACTACCTTTTGTGTAATGTTGTATTTTATTTATGTTCTTATTTTAAGATTAGCATGGCCAACTCATGAAAGTCCAAATGATGGTCAACTTTTTTTATGTTTTTTTTGTTGTTGTTTTTTTTTTAACATTATTTACTTTATTTTTACAGTGTTCCTCTGAATCATACATTCTGTTTTAGTTAAACATGCACTTCTTGTTACTTATTTTCCCATACTTCATATTACATTGATCACGGTTTGATGTGATGGCTCATAAAATTATAAAAATATCATTTCTTTGTACTTTACCTAGTAAAATATGAAAACAGAAATGCTCTTGTAAGCTAACCTGTTCTATGTTTATATGCCCATGCCATTTAAAGAATGGTGACAGGGCATTAAGTGTTACCCTGTCTGTCAGTCCGGTCAGTATGTGAAATTTCCACTGAAATTTTAGTTTCCAACCAATAAGATTTGTACACCTTTTAAGGATTCAATTTATAACTGGTATATTCAACAATATATCAAAACACAGGTCAAGTATGATTTCAGTTACATTCCACAAAATTTATACAACATTATGCCTTCCTTACCAAATCATATGCAAAAAATTGATTTATAACTGATAATATTTGAATGCTTTTGAAATCTATAAAGATTTTTCATATAGTTCTGGACAAAATTTAACAGTCTTTAGTGAGTTGGAGTAGTATGAAAAATCAGGTGTCTGTAAATCAAGGTCACTACTTTGGATCAAAAGTCAAATAATAACTTAAAACGTGAGAGTATATTTCTATATACATGGCTGGATTTACATAACATTTATCACAAATGTTCACTTACGTATACATCTTTCTCCCCAATGTGAAGCTTTATGGTTCAGTTCTGAATAATGGCAACAGGCTTGATATATGCTGCCAGTGGGCTTGTCTAATTATGTACATATTTTGATTACCCACTCAATATAAGCATTGTTCTTAACGCAGGCATTCAGGTCCTATGGGCACA